ATCAATCTTGTTGATTTTCTCCAGGAACCAGCTTTTTGTTTCATTGATTCTTTGGATTGTTTTCTGTGTTTCTATTTTGTTGATGTCAGCCCTCAGTTTGATTATTTCCAGTCTTCTACTCCTCCTAGGTGAGTCTGCTTCTTTTTTTCTAGAGCTTTCAGGTGGGCTGTTAAGTCTCCAATGTGTGCTTTCTCTGTTTTCTTTAAGTGGTCACTTAGTGCAATGAACTTTTCTCTCAGGACTGCTTTCATAGTGTCCCATAAGTTTGAGTATGATGTTTCTTTATTTTCATTGAATTCAAGGAAGACTTTAATTTCTTTCTTTATTTCTTCCTTGATCTAGGTATGGTTTAGTAGTTGACTGTTCAGTTTCCATGAGTTTGTAGGCTTTCTGGGGGTAGCATTGTTGTTGAATTCTAACTTTAATCCATGGTGATCTGATAAGACACAGGTGGTTACTAATGTTTTTTTTTCATGATTATAGGTTGTGTCAAGTTAACAGTCATAACCTCCCAACACAGCATTTGAACTCCAGGCACCAGGAGCTGATCCCCATGTCCTCTGCATGGAAGTAGTAGAATGCATGATGCCAAACAATCAATAGGGGATAGGAAGAGCTTGTATGCAGTCATGGGCTTCATTCTTACCACCAAAACTCCAAAATGACACCACACACACACACAAAATATCATTTGGGTACAGAATATGTTTTTCTACTTCTATTAAAAATAATATGCCTGGGACTGGAGAGATGGCTCAGAGGTTAAGAGCACTGGCTGCTCTTCCAAAGGTCCTGAGTTAATTCCCAACAAATGCATGGTGACCCACAACCATCTCTAGTGAGATCTGGTGCCCTCTCCTGGCCTGCAGGCATACATGCAGGCAGAACAATGTATACATAAATAAATATTGTTGAGAAATAAAATGACTGTTATGAGTATAAAATGTCGAAATCAGTGTTTCGGTTTCTCAGGAAATTCGGGATCAACCTACCCCTGGACCCAGCAATACCACTCTTGGGAATATACCCAAGAGATGCCCTATCATATGACAAAAGCATTTGTTCAACTATGTTCATAGCAGTATTATTTGTAATAGCCAGAACCTGGAAACAACCTAGATGCCCTTCAATGGAAGAATGG